GATTTCACATGACATTGAAATGTAAGTCATGTCCTGTCTCTGCCTTCATTAAAAACAATGGCTTTTCTTCATATTTAAAAACTAATTTTTGCCCTGGCTGGTTTGGCTCAGTGGATGAAGCGTCGGCCTGCAGACTGGAGGGTCCAGGGTTCGATTCTAGTCGGGGGTGCATGCCTGGGTTGTGGGCTCGATCCCCAGTGGGGGACGTGCAGGAGGCAGCTGATCAGGGATTCGCTCTCATCATTGATGTTTCTCTTTCTCTCCTTCTCTGAAGCCAATAAAAATATGTGGTTGTTTTTTTTAAAAAGGAGTACCTAACCTAGACTTGGAGGAAGGATCAGGGAAGGCTTAATAGAGGAGGTGTTTACCTAACTTGAGTCTTCATTTAGTCAGGTCAATGGGTCAAGAATGCAAGAGGATTGCTGAGGCAGAGGGTTCAACAAATGTAAAGGTATGGAGGTAAGGAAAGCATGCTGAGCTTGGAATCACAAACAGTTCAGTGCGGCTGTAAGAAAACTGGTTTTCTTCCCTTGTAGTTCAAACAGGCCCAGCATTGTTATATTTAATGAATCTGAGATAAAGGTTTTAAAATGATTAAAAACATGAACTATGCAAACCAAGAAAAAAATGATGATAGGGAGAGACAGGACAGTGAATAGAAAGACAAAAAGAGGACCTCATAACCACACAGCTGCCTGTCACTAAGAGACTTTGCAACTTGAAAATCACAAAAGATTATCTAAGGACCGTGCTCCTTTTCAATAATATCCAAAACCCACTTATTATGTTTTATATCAGTGGTTTTCAACCAGTGTGCCACAGAATTTTTAACCCTTTGAGCTCCAATTTTATTTTTGGAATTCAAACAGTCTGGTCCGAATTGGAAGCCCTTCCTCTCTTGGTTCAGTAGTTCCCTGGCAGAAACTGCCAATTAGCTCAATCACCAACTCAGCTCGATGTTGGACCTGCTACTAGAGCCTGGTCTGTTGAGTCAGCCTTGACGTTGGACCGAAAAA